TAAAGTGAAGCCAAACTTTAGAGCGCGTTCATGTTCTTCTAGTCGGGAAATCGGAGTTCCGAGGAGAAAGCGAACGCACCATTAGCGAAACGGAAGCTAACATATCAAGCTAATGTTATCTTAAACATTTTATTTACCTACTGGAGCAGAATAAGATGAGTATGTCTCACTTAGATCGTTGTCACTGGTTTCATCATCACCCAGTTACCCATCACATTTAGTGAAGTGGACCCAAGCTTTAGCGTGCGTTCTTTCTACCATGCTGCTCTATTTACAACTCGCTCGCAGCGAGCGACGACATAACGCTCTTGCGCATGCACAGCTGTCTAGGCAAGTTCTCGTTATGAAGGACGGGTACCGAACGAGGCACCGTTTGAAATGATGTGAATCAGTGCTCAGTCGGTACTATGGAATTCGGTCGGTACCTTAAAAAGTACCGAATTCGGTACCCATCCCTACACACACTACATATGTCCTGCAGGTCCCTGATCTCCTGTCTTTGTCAACCACCGGCATGAGGAGCGGCATGTTAAGTGAACTGGGATTGAAAACACGAATAGAAGAGTTCTAGGCCAAAGAGAGTGGTGGCAGCTTATAATACATATAAGTGTGAAACTGAATGACTTGGAAAGCAACTGGTGAGATCAGATCATGTGTATTTCCTTTGCAGATAAATCCGATTTAGCTTTAAAGAGAAACGGGCATTGCGGCCAAAAGCTTCTCCAAATCTTTCTCTGTCATCTTGCTCTGCGAATGACTTGAAACAGGGACACAATATACTCGTGATGTGCCGAGTGGAAGTGTCTCTGCTCTCATAATGCATCTTAGTCACCATGTGGGTGTGCATCTATTAGCACTGTGGGCTGTGACAGAGGTGTGAAGAGACCGCGGCAGGGGCTAAAAGCAAAGACAAGGCTGTGATGAGAACTTGCGAGCTGAAACTGAGTGAGTGAGTGAGTGAGTGAGTGAGTGAGTGAGTGAGTGAGTGAGTGAGTGATTTGTGCAAGGCTGTAGCTGAATATTTATGTTAGTGCCTGTCAAATAACAGTAATGAGTCATGTTTAATCACCGTTTACTGATAGTTTTATGGGTTGCAACAAAATATTATAGATATACAGTGGGGCAAAAAGGTACTCAGCCTCCCATTGTGCAAGTTCCCCCACTTAAAAAGACGAGAGGCCTGTACTTTTTAACCGAGAGAAAAAAAAAGAAAAAAGAAAATCCAGAAAATCACATTGTCTATTTTTTTAAATTATTTATTTGCAAATTATGGTGGAAAATCAGTATTTATTCTCCTACAAACAAGCTATATTTCTGGCTCTTATGGGCCATTCCCATCTGTACCGGGTCGGCCCGGGCCGGGTAGCCCCAGGTGGCCCCAGCCTGGCCCGGTTGATTCCACACATCCTTGTCTTAAGCCCATGTGGGCTGATTCTACCCACCAATCAGAGGCTTGCTCTAATGGAAGGTGTGAATTTGCTGTCAGCAGTGGGTGTGTTGGCCCTGGTCGGCCTGAAGCAGAACCCCTCGAGAAGAGGGCTGAGAATGAGCCTTGGTTGGCCCGGAAAAATACCAGGCCACCCAGATATGTAAACAACCTACGCTACCCGGCCCGGGCCGACCCGGTACAGATGGGAATGGCCCATTATAGACCTGCAACTCCTTCAGTAAGAGGCCCCTCTGTCCTCCACTCGTTACCTGTAATAATGGCCCCTGTTGGGACTCTTTATCGTATAAAATACACCTGTCTACAACTTCAAACAGTCACACTCTAAACTCTACTATGGACAAGACCACAGTGCTATCCAAGGACACCAGAAACAAAATTGTAGACCTTCACCTGGGAAGACTGAATCTGCAATAGGTAAGCAGCTTGGTGTGAAGAAATCAACTGTGGGAGCAATTATTAGAAAGTGGAAGACATACAAGACCACTGATAATCTCCACGCAAGATCTCACCCCATTGGGTCAAAATGATAACAAAAATGGTGAGCAAATATCCCAGAACTGCACGGGGGGACCTAGTGAATGACCTGCAGAGAGCTGGGACCAAAGTTACAAAGGCTACCATCAGTAACACTACACCACCTGGGACTCAAAAGAAAGACCCTGCTTAAGCCAGTGCATGTGCATGCCCGTCTGAAGTTTGCCAGAGAGCATTTGGATGATCCAGAAGAAGATTGGGAGATGTGGTCAGATGAAACCAAAATAGAGCTTTTTGGGAAAATCTCTAACAGTTGAGTTTGGAGAAGAAAGAATGCCGAGTTGCATCCAAAGAACATCATACCTACTGTAAAGCACCAAGGTGGAAACATCATGCTTTGGCACCGTTTTTTCTGCTAAGGGACAAGGACCACTGGTCCACGTAAAGGAAAGAATGAATGGCGCCATGTGTCATTGGATTTTTCAGTGGAAACCTATCAGCAAGGGCGTTGAAGATAAAACATGGCTTGGTCTTTCAGCATGACAACAATCCCAAAAACACCTCCTGGGTGAAGGAGTGGCTTTATAAGGAGCATTTCAAGGTCCTTGTGTGGCCTAGCCAGTCCCCAGATCTCAAAATATTTGGAGGAAGTTGAAGGTCCATGCTGCCCAGCGACAGCCCTAAAGCATCACTGCTGTAGAGGATATCTGCATGGAGAAATGGGCCAAAATACCAGCAACAATGTGTGAAACCCTTATGAAGACTTACAGAAAATATTTTCTCTTTCATTGCCAACAAAGGGTATATAACAAAGTTTTGAGATAGAATTTTTTTATTGACTAAAAACTTATTTTCCACCATAATTTCTAAATAAACTCTTAAAAAACCAGACAGTGACTTACTGGATTTTATTTTTCTCATTTTGTCTTACAGTTGAGGTCTACCTATGATGAAAATTACAGACCTCTTGTTGTTTTTAATGGGAGGACTTGCACAGTTGGTGGATGACTAAATTCAGTTTTGCCCCGCTGTATGTGACTAGGTTTGAGTGAGTTATTTATAAGTCTGGTGTCACTATAGACCAGGGGTGCCCAATCCTGCTCCTCGAGGGCCGGTACCCAGCATGTTTTAGCTTTAATTCAGTTTCAACACACCTGATTTCAATCAGCAGGTGATTAACAGGCTTCTGCAGAGCCTGATCAGATGCTGCACAGGTGATCCAACCAGTTAATCAAGTGTGTTGGAGCAGAAAAACCACAAAACCTGCTGGATACTGGCCCTCCAGGACCAGGATTGGGCACGCCTGCTATAGACGATAGGACTGTCTACATCTGAGTGTGGCAGATGTGTTTGCCATACTATGAGTTAACTTGCTTCTTGACAAATCTCAAATAAACACAGATGTTCCATACTCTATTCCTTTGTGGAAAGTCAACTTTCTAATCCTTCCTCAAAGAGGCAAAAGCCCAAACCAAGTTTTTCAGAGATGGACGATGATTTGAAGTAAACTCATAGAAGTAATGTTTGTTTATTTTAACGTTATGTATTTCTTATATTTTTGTGTGGTTTGTACAATGGCAGAGGAGTTCAGTGCCTGCCCCGTAACCAGAAGGTTGCAGGTTCACATTCTGTTAAGTCTGTCACAGCAGCTTTGTCCTTGGGCAAGACACTTCACCGGACTGGTGGTGCTGGGGTACAGCAGCCTCACCTCTGCCAGTGCACGCCAGGGTGGATGTGGCTACATACCTCATCATCTGTGTGTGTGTGTGTGTGTGTGTGTGTGTGTGTGTGTGTGTGTGTGTGTGTGTGTGTGTGTGTGTGTGTGTGTGTGTGTGTGTGTGTGTGTGTGTGTGTGTGAATGACTGTCAGTTTTGTAAAGCACCTTGGGGGAGTGTAAGACTCTAGAATGCGATAAATACTATTTTACCATTTCTATACAGGATTCTGACAAATTAGGCTCGTCCCTGTTGTAGATGGCTCATGAACTACCTCAGTGTGCAGAAATGTAGATCGCTGGAATAAATGGGCTACAGGTCGGCCTGAGTAGGGTCAAGACCGAAGACAATTACAGACTCCTTGAAACAACTTCCATTTAATATTTTCATAAAGGGTTCAAGACGATGTTCTTTTATGAACCTTTTCACCACAGTTAGCTCACCAGGCTGGGGTGGAGTGCTACAGCTAGCTGCTACTACTCTCTGCATGATACATTCTGAGTAAATAACCCTCAAATTTGAAATTAAGAGATGTGTCAAGTTTTAAAAAGTGGCACCCACAATGGAGATCAGGTCCCCCTGTGGAACACTGAAATGATCTCCAGAAACGTGGTTTAAAATAGTGCTAAAACGTGTGTTCGCCATTATTATTACAAGAGAATAAAAACAGTGATTCCTGGATTAAATGTGGTGTACTGGCTGCCGTTTGCATTTGTATTGATATTGGATATTTGGCTAATCGTGTTGAGGAAATTATTCTAGTTCAACTAGTGATATATCGGGTCTCTCTGTCTGGTATTTTGTGGCTCAGAAACAGAAAAGATGAATGTTTAGTAAACCGTTTTCTGAACCGTCTAACCCTGAAGTCATCTCTGTTTCAGCAGCTTAAGGCATAGAAACATGTCCCTGTCGGAGACATCGAAGCCTGGTCTTCAAATGCCACCATTCTGCACATTTCAGATGCTTCGCTGCTCCAATATACCTGATTTGAACCTGTAGATGATTAACTGGCTTCTGCAGAACTTTGACTTTAACTATGAGCGTTGGAGTTGGAACATTTTTAAGATTCGACCCCACTGGCTGAGAAGGATGAAAACCTTGTAAACTTTAAACAGATAGTACATATGTGACTCTCTTCTGACCTTTAAAACTGTTTTTACAACAATAAAGTGTAGTAAACAAAAAAATAAATCCCATAAATGAAGTTTATTCTGTCAAAAGTGTTTTTATCTGTAGAAAAATGGATTTTATAGGACTATTAATGTCATGTTTGATGCATTGGGTGAATGTGCCTAAGGATCTCTTCCTGGTCAGTGTTTGTGCATGCATGTGTGTGTGTGCCAACAGCTCTCTGTGCCTACCTAATTTTTGCATGCATGCTCGCAGTCTCTCCTCAAGATTTGACACTCTGTTGTGGAGCTCCTCGTAGTCATAGGCCCCCATCTCCTCTTGTAGCTCGTTTAGAACTGACGTCAGATTTCGGACCTCCTCCTTAAATTGCAATACCAATTTGGCATCGGCTTTGTACTCCTCCAACACTGGTATCAACGGTCTAAGCTCCTCCATTTTCGCTTTTATGGCCTGAAAGGATTAGAATAAGCTCGGTTGAGTGTCAAGCGCAACAAAAAGAGACCCGCTGTCCAAAAGAAAGAAATAAAAGAAATAAAAAAAAGGGAAAGAAAGGGGAAGGGGAAGGGATCACCTGTCTAAGCCTGGCTACTCTGACTCTTCCCTGCATTTTTTCTCTAGTTGAGCCCGTGTCCGGTGTTTATGTGCATGTGTGTGCACAGCTGTGTTCTGTCTGTGCGAGTGTGTTTTTGAGCAAACAAACCCAGAGAACATTCTCCAGCCGCTGAACGAGCAGGGCAGGTGGCTCCGCCCCCGGCAGCGAGCGGCCGTTAAAAAGCAAGCCCTCAATACACTGGACAACAATTGGGAAAGCTCTTTATTGGTCATCATCGTTCAAAATGCAACATCGTATTAAGGGTTACATGCTTTTACATGTCACACACAACAAAGTGTCTCGAATTATACGTCTATAGCGTTACGGAAAGATTTGCTGAGTAACCAAATATGCATAGACAAAAGCCAAAAGGAAAAAAGTAACACCATTTAATAATAATAATAATAATAATAATAATAAATGTATTTACGGTAGGAAAAAGCTTTTTAGGTGGAAAACGTTGACAGCAGTATCATGCAGGAATAGATCAGTAGTGGGTTGGTTTAGGGGTGGGAAGGTGGGGTTGTCTCGATCTTAAATGATGCTAAAAAGGTAAATTAACTGTTTGATGCCCAGATACTTTCAGTACTGTGGCCCAGTTCAGGTGAATCTGGATCTGACCTGCCTCTTCTTCCCTGTGGCTCTCTTTACATGTCTTAAAGTTAGCCCTGCAAGCAAGAAAACGACAAACTGTTGATGGGGGCTGGAGCTTGCTAGCCTAACTAAGAGACACACAAAAGGCAAACACACACGTAGTAAAATGCACATAGATGTGTTGGATTATACTGCACACATGCAACACGGCGCTGGCAACATGAAGTGACCGTGCATGCAAAAATGGCTTTAATGCACATGTGTGGTATTGGCGATAATAAAAAGATTGCAGAAAAACAGAAGTAGGCACTGTGGTATCAGATGATGAAGGATTTTAAAGTGGTGAAGATGTGGTAAGAAAGTTATATTTATTAAACTAATACCGCAGATTTTTTTAAAGGTGCATTGTGTAGAAAAGAAGTAAGAATGACCTCCAGTGGTAAATGTGGCTACTACAGTCTATTTTTCTAATCAAGATTGACCCTCTCACTGCCGTCCTAGGAGTTTAATGGCTGTTACCAGTTATGAATCAGCACAGAAGACTCTAGATGATGAGTCATTCACAGTAAGTTGATAAGTAGATGAATACATTTCACCGTAATATCCACTTGCTGGTTACTGAAATAGTGTGAGATGATTTTAGAGCTTCTCGTATACCGTTGGCATTGTTAGCCTATAGCATTGGTGTAGATTTGCTTTTGATATTGGTGATGACGTATAAACACCAAATTATTATTCATGTGTCAGGCTTTAAAGGATTAACTGTCTCTCTAGGCTGATAATATCTTTGCACAAGGTTGCAGATTTCTCTCTCAGTCTGAATGGAAGTTAGACTCAGAGAGAGAGAGAGAGAGTTCTCGTTCTCTCTCAGAGAAAGGTAAATCATCTGTAGCTCTTGAGTTCATGGCCGTCAGTCTGTTTTCATGTGCGGCTTTTATACAGTTGGTGAAATCCTCTCAGGACCTTTGGATACACTCACTCGCTTTAGGCCCCACGAGTCACCCACGACTCATTGAAAACACAGGAGTCTTGCATACAACTGGAATGTTTTACTTTGAGCTTTGGGGCCTCTAACAACCGGCGTAGTTTTTCTCAAGGGAGATTCCCGTGACAGCATGTGCAGCCAATCACACCGGCCATATGCGTTACAGAGGTTTAACCCTTTCTGCACTTCTAGGGTAACGAGACAGTGAATGACTTGTTGTTTTTTAGCGGTCAAATTGTTGGTGGGGATTATGTGGTCATCGCTGGAGATTGGCGGGGACACGTCCTCTCTGTCCATGCCAAATGTACGCCCTTGGCCTCTAGGCCATACCCCTAAGATGCAGTGGCTTCTTAGGGGTACAAGAAATAACTTCTGGGTTGCTCCTGTTTACTGGCTTCAGTTCTCTGGAGCTTTTTGCCGACCTGTGTCGAAATACAGTGCATTGCTTCAGCGTTAGCTTGGTGGAGGCTCACCAACCCCACAGGTTCACAGATTGTAAACAAAGTGTATGTCCCTCTGCCGCCATTTTGAAAGAAAAAAAAATTAATAATCTGAACCCCCCCCCCCAGCCGTCTGAGACGGAAATGTCTCAGGGTGACTTTCCGACATGACTGACATTAGACTGTTTAGTGATTTATATATATATATATATATATATATATATATATATATATATATATATATATATATATATATATATATATATATTAAAGTTTCTTTCCGCAGTATTTCTCTTATCTATTCATTAAATTTTTTACTTGTACTTGAAGTCCATAAAACAATTAGAAAGGCCGGGTGTCCCGTGTGCAGAGGTTTCTTTAATTACAGTAAATGTTAAATTAAATTAGATTATTTCCCAGATGATCAACGATTCTCTCTTCAGCTTTAACGGGTTAATAAAATGTTCCTGTGTTAATTGAACAATATGAAAATGTGCTGGCTCAGTCCTTCAATAAGATCTTTGACCATTTAGGTTTCCTGTGTGATCACTGGGATTGTTTAATATCATCTGTATATAAATAATCAAACGCATTCATGAGAAATGTTCTTATTAATCTCCGCGTTTTGACGACTAGAGCTTTTTGAAATCCTGTCATTTTGCTCGCTGTCATCTTTTACTTTGACGTGAGGACAGCTGACCCAAAAGTTATGTTCAAGAGCTTAACTTGGTTTATTTGACCAACTGCATGATGATGAGCAGCCATTGATTTGAACGTCATGGATTAAGTTGCAAAGCCAAACAGCAGCGCTACACTGCAGCACATTGTGGTTTTGAGCCAAATGACAAAGTAAAGTCGATAATTTGGAGGTGATGAATTAAAAATTATTGAAACCAAAGCAAAAACAAAAAAAACGGGTGGCGTTCAAGGGCACAGATGCAACTTACCACCTGGAAATTCAAATCTAAGTTTAAGATTACTTTTAATATAACTGGAAAAGATAATTGAATGCATTCGTGTTGATTTGACCTGATCGAACAGCAAATTACCAGTAAATGTAACAACTCGTGTGACATGTTTGTGAGAGGGATAGATGAGTTTGGATAAGCGTGATGTGTTCAGTCATGCACGGCTCATGGATTTAGAGGATTTTCTCCACAGACACAAAACACGACAATCTGTTGAGTTAACAGCTGTGAGGGAATGATGGCTGCGTCTACGAAGAAAGGATTTGCTCCATACCTTGTATTGCTTGGCCATGTTCTGCTTGTGGTTCTCCTCCACCTGCCTGAACTTGGTCTCCAGACCACGGAGCTGCACCTCCATCTTCTCTACATACTGCAGGTCCCTCTGTGTGCGCTGGTCCAGGACCTGGATGGACTGGGTCATGTTCTGGACCTGGAACGGGACACACACACACACACACACACACACACACACACACACACACACACACACACACACACACACACACACAGGTTGAATACTGTTATTACATTCTGTGATATTAGCAGTAGAGAAAATGCAACAGGCCTACAGTGTGTCATCCTGGCTTGGTGTTCGTCTCGCCGTGATTCACAAACTCTGACATCAGGCTGACTAGTCAGGGGCCTCGGACACATGGAGCAAGTGTAGAATGCATACTGTTCAAACATTTGTTTACTCCAAAACTGTTTAGTTACGTAAACTACTTGAACCTCGGCTGCTTCAGCTGTTCTGCATCAGTTTAGATTCTCTCCTCTTTTTCCACGAAACGTTCATAGACGTGTGTGAGCGTGGGCGTCTTACAGTTCCCCAGCTGGGTATTGAGTTGAATTGCATCATTAAATAAGTTGCTTTGGATGCATGTAGTACAATAAAATCTTACTGTATAGCTACTGCTGCCTCCCATGATGCTTTGGGTTTCCAGGGAGCTCATTAGAGCAGGATTTCTGTTCTTGTCCCAAAGGCAGAGAAACGAATGGGTGTCTCGCCCTATTAAACCTCCGCGTGTGTGTGTGTGTGTGTGTGTGTGTGTGTGTGTGTGTGTGTGTGTGTGTGTGTGTGTGTGTGTGTGTGTGTGTGTGTGTGTGTGTGTGTGTGTGTGAGAAAGAAGCAAAAGTGGTGCAGTGCGTGTGTGTTAGATCGTTGCTTCTCAGTATTTAACCTGTAATTACCTTCTCCAACAGCTGCCTCAGTTGTTTGGTGCGGGCATCCCGTGAGCACATGGACTGCTGTGGCGCCACCACGGTGCAGACACACCTCCCCTCACTATCCTGGGCCGAACTGTACACCTGCCACGATTCCTCTGGGTTTGCTGGCAGCACCTTGTTGCAAAAGACACACACACACACACACACAAAGATGCAGAGGTCAATGGTGATGCTAAGAGAGAACAGGGCAAATCTTCAACTGCTGGGAAACAAGTGGAGACCAAAATAAAGCTTCACAATAGAATTTAAAAGTAATATGTTGAGAAACAACACGTTCTTACACCCGAAACTGATGATGGGTGACCAAGCTTTTGTTTCCGACACGTTGGGAAGCGACACGCTGTGCCAGAGCGTCGCTTTCCGATGCCCACAGCAAAACGGAGATTTCACCGAATTGCAATTTAAACTTCCCCTCACCCTCAGCTCCATCCTAACCTTAACCCACTTTCTCATGCAAACTTTGCTTCTAGTTGCATCGTCCATCTCAAACACAGTTAACAAGACGTTTAGAATGAGAAACTGGGCTTAGGTTAGGATGAGGGTGAGGGGAAGGTTAAATAGCAAGGAGTTAGAGGTTAAATGTCAGTGAAATGTGTGTTTTACCGCGGTCTTCGGAAACCGATGCTCTGGCACAGCGCGTCGCCTCCCGATACGCGTTGGGAGCCTCAATGCATTGGAAACAAATGCTTGGTCACCCATCGTCAGTTTTAGCCGCTTCAGGTGTGAGAACGCGTTGTGAGAAAAGACGGTTTTACTGTTGCTTTTTATCAATTCTCACGCAACAGAGCAGAATGGTGTTTAACCTGTAGGCACCATGTGATGTGAATCGCTCTCTGCTTCTGCAACATTCAAATGTTGGCTGATATCCGTGAAACTGACTGACGTACAGCTCTCATGAAGACCTTACGATCCATTGTCTGTGACAAAAAAGCTCTGGCACTCCTGTTTCAGGGATGAGATGGGAGGTGAACACAGCAGGATTTGGAGTCTAAACCCTGCTTCACACTGGAAGCATCAGCGGAATGGTTCACTTGAAACTTTTTCCGCGGTTCAGTACACACCGGGAGAGTCCTGGCCACAGAATGGCTATCTTGCTGTGCTATTTGCTAAACTCACAAGATCACAAAATCCCTCGAGCCTATGCCATTGAACCAAAAAGGAGATCATGTTTAATATCGCTGTTTGATGTCATATATAATGTTGCTGCTCTCCACTGCCAGGAATAACCCTCCCACTGTCTTTATGGGTGACCCCGCGAGGAAAGTTGACCATTGAGCAGGATTGATGGTTCATCCCTTGAGGTTCACGTGGCAGGGGTGATGTGGAGCCCATTCCTCACCCCTGTCACAAGGACCTCAGGAGATAAACCATCAACCCTGCTCAATGGTCAACTTTCCTCGCGGGATCACACCCATTAGGAGAGTGGGAGGGTTAAAGCCGTGAAAAACACACTTCTAGAACGATGCATGGAGTAAACAAGCCGTTAGGTCACACATATTGACATAATCTACAAAGAAATGAAATCGCATCGCTGTAATAGTCTTTTATTTTGACAATTACCAGGAGTTTTACACTGAAATCGTATGTGATTTCCTGTCTAGCCCTATGTTAACTGTGGAAATCGTCACGTCACAGAAACAGTAGTAGGCAAGCCCGATCCTATCTTTAGCGGAGCGGCGCGGCGCGGCGCGGCACACCGCTTCTGGGACGTGCCTGAACATTTCCACGTCGCGGCTGGTTTAAATCATCCCTTTAGATTATTATGAATTCTAATTTGAAGCAGTGCATTTACGCGCCACCGATGCTTCCAGTGCTACGTAGGAGTTAATCATTACTATTTCCTGATATTTGGACATCTCACCTCTGATTGGCCAACAGCAACGCAACTCTTCTGATGCCTCCTTTCGCTTTGCAACACTGATGTTTGATCTCCACAGATAACACAAGGCATCAGGACCTCTGCCACGTTGTGGAGTCGCTAATGCTAATGGTTAGACTCTACTAGCAGAGAGCTCTGCTCTCTCCTGGATGCAAAACTCAACAACAGATTTCCCCGTAGCGAGCCAAGATGGGTGAGTCCATGAATGCTAACATGCAGCGCGGCGTGGATCTGACTGACTTTTCTGACCAGAGCGTCTCATCGTATATTTTCAATCATGATAAAGCAGGAAATAGAGGTAGAAGATCATTGTCACCTTCTGCCTGTGTGTGAAGCTCAGAGTGAGTGATCGCATTAGAAAAATAACAAGTAAAAAAAACGGTTCCTCAGTGAACTTGTTCTTTAGACATTTACGAGTTTCAGCTCTGTTTCATGGAAACCTTCCTGACTGGGGTTGACTCCAGAAAGAAATCAGATGTAAATCTATGTCTGAACACTTCATTTAAATCTGTCCTGTGCAGATAATTTACCACCAGAGAAACGGAGTTGACTCAAACAGTTAACAGTCAGAGACAGAGTATGTGATGGACATGACTCTCAGGTACCATCACATCAAACTTCAGCTCCATTTGTGTTAAGTTCACCTAGCCTTAGACATTTGTGTGTTTGCTAATGTTGGTTGGCTATGGCAGCCATCTTGAATCTAGTTTCCTCTAGAACTCAATCAGTTGGAGACGACCATCTGTTGATTACATTTTAGGAGTTTCCTACCATTATTTAACACTACAAACAGGGTTGACACCCCAAAAGTAATATAACATTTTTAGATTTAAGATAGTGTGAAGCTGTGGAGGATGCCGGACAAGATTTTAGCTAACATGATTGGATCTTAACCCATTTTGTGTTTGTTAATGTCAATTATCTCTAAGCCATTTAAAGCAGGGTTGACTGCAAATGTTAATCACTCATACCATCGAACGTCCAATGCTGTCTTTCTATGAGTTTCATTGAAAATGGTCCAATGATTGAAATATTTCACTATCACTGAGCACAAACACACGCGTTATGGTGGGATGCCATATACAAATTAGCCGAGGCATCCCCGTTTTTCTAGGAAAAGGGAAAATTCAGCTATTTTGCATTTATTTGCTGTTCATGCAAATGATGTACCATCCATTTTCCACTAAATACTGCATATTTATGAGCTACCGCAAAAGAAAATAATGATGCCGAAGTTCCTCTTTTTATTCTGTGTGTGAAAGCTTTGTCTCCTAGTGACGTCAAGGTATATATTTTTTCATTCTTTACCTGAGAGTGGAGCAATCTATTTAGTGACCTGCTGATCCAATAGGAGGCAGCGGGTGACTTTGAGAGACACATTCGTGACTACATCAGCAGTAAATGAAAAAAAACTGGACAGTCCTGCTGATTGACTCAATTAGTGAGAATGTGTGACTTCACAAAATCTAAAAGGAGCAATCAGGGTGACAGTCAGCTGCCCCAGAGGATGTGCTGACAAGACAAGGACCATCAAATACCCAACGATAGAAATGATTAGAAGTGCATTTTCCAGGAATTGACTTAAAAAACACAAGCGCAGACCTGGATACCATGTCCTACTGGCTCTGACCCTTCAGCACCTTTTTTCCATTCACACATCATAGGAAAATTTAGTTTTAGACTAAAGCATCAGATCGCTCACTTCAGCAGCTCTAACCTCCCACTACCAGAGCATCAGAAAAAGGGATAGCCCACTATTCACTTGGTGCAGCCATCTCCTCAGAAGCACCATTGCAAAAGGAGGAATCTATGATGCTCCTTTTATACCAAGGGCGCCACCGGATCTTGGGATTTATCTGCTTTAAATGAACCCAAAGAACTGCAACAATTCCTCCTTCAGACCTAATCGAGTGGAACTTACTCCGGTGCTCCGGTCTGGGTACCCTCCCTGCGCCGCCGTGAGCTTGGTGGTGTTGAGCCCCACCAGAGAGGGGAGGGTCTGCGACATCCAGTTGGTGATCATCGCCATGGTGCTCAGCACGACCCCGATCTTCAGCAAAGGCACCGTCATCTTTGCTTTTCTTCAGCTCGATCTAATCCGTCTTCATTCTACAGACTCTGTGGAGAGACCAGGGAGGCGAGTCGCGGTGGTGCCAAGAGCATCTTCTGGATGTTTGGACCGGGACTCCGGATCGGCTCGTCTTTTCGTGGTCATCTCCCCAAGGCTGGATGCGCTGGATGGCTGAGACCGCAGAGAGAAGAGTTGGTTTGGGGTGGAAACTCGGTGGTGGGTGTAAGAACCTCCTAAAAGCAGCTGCTGGACTGGTCCCTCCTTTCGGATAGATCTGCTCCCCTCGGTGTCCCGCGCGCTACTATCCGGATCACGCCCGTCAGTCCGCCTCCTGCCTCGGCGAGCTCTGTGATTAACTGCACACGCAGGCGGCTCCAAATGGTTGTGGGAGAAGAGTAGGAGGTACTACAGATCCCTACGGGTCCAGACACTATGATGTCAAACTGGACGAGCTCCGTTCGTTAGAATGTCCCGTCTAAGGCTGCAGCTCCAGCAAAAGGCTCAGCAGTTGCATCTAAATTAATCATTGCTGCAGGTTATTATTTGGCAAAAGCTGAAGTAAACCCCTGCAAAACCCTCGCAGGATTTATTTTTTATTTATTTATTTATTTATTTGTGTGCAGGAAAAAGCAGTGAGACGAGAGCGCGCAGGAAGTGAGTGCAAGTTGGATCTTCCATTCCTGGGACTCTGGCGCCATCTTGCAGCTGATTTAGGCGTTGCAGGAATTGGAACAAGTTCTCCAAATGCAAGAAAAAATATGCAATAATTACAATAAATCTGCAGAAAACTCAAAGAGGATTTGGGTTTGAATGTCCACGAGTGGGGTCGTGATTAGTAGGGCTGGAGGTGTTGCACGTGCATGCAGAAGTGTCCTTGTGCAACAGGAGCCTATGGTCAGGAAATGGAAATGTAAACTTTGATTTTGCATCATCAGGGTTAAAACTCCATCCGGGCAATGTAAAAACGACATAACTTTGTAAAAAATATTATTTTAAGGGATTAAACAATTTTAGACTTCCTGCAAAATGAATACGTTTCAATTGTTATTCTTATAAGATTTCTTATTTTATTTACCATATGCTCTTTATTTGCTCTGCTATGTTATACTCTGCTTGACATTGTTTTATTTTTCATTGAGCACGTTAAAAAATGAAATCTTCACACAGAAGATCCACAGAAAAACCAGATTTCTGCAAATTCGGGATTTATTTCTCCACCATCTGCAAAAAGTAAGACACATTACTCCTCCACCCCCCCAACCCACCCCACCCCCTCCTCCTTCTCAGCTGCTCTAGTTTATAGCCTCCCAGGTGAGATTCCACAGGTGGCTTCATTACCACAAGGTATTGGTGAGTATTGACTCAGAGCTGTTCAGTCACAGGGTTGTGTAATGAGATGTAGATCAATGGAGCGAATGACAAAAGCCGTTATGGTCACATGTTTATCCCTTCTCGTTAGAAGAAATTAAAGGGGATGGATGAACTCAGGATTTAGTCACAACATGCTACACTGCCGAAGGGATGTGTGTGTGTGTGTGTGTGTGTGTGTGTTGTGTGTATATATATATATATATATATATATATATATATATATATATATATATATATATATATAATGTTTAAACTATACATATATACACATTTAGAGGCTACATTACCCACACTGTTACATTTAGTCAAAGTGGAAAAATGAAGGTCTATGAGATTTGAAATCATATTTTCTCTCTGAAAGTGCACTGCTAAATGCTCCACACCTCCACCCACTCCTCTTCTGCTGGCTTTCTCTCCCCCTTTGCTTCTTAGCTCAGCCAGTCACTGAATCATAAATATCCCCAACCCCAGCTGCCAATCACAGCACTTGTAAGAGAAATTCACATGGAATACCTTTTCTTTCATGTCAAGCTAGGCTTTTTATGATTATTATTATAATTACTAAGGAATTATTGGAAGCTAATGAAACCAAAGTCCTTGCGTGCACAAACGAATAATCTGATTAAGTATTTTGCAGTTTATTTTACAGCCTAAAAGCTTTGCAGGTGCAGACACTTAACCACATCTGGTTTTGTTTTGTTTTTTTCTTCTAGTCTGGTGGTTGATGGGATGATCATCGGAGTGTCTAAGGGGCGGCTCTAACAGCACCATCTGCTCCGTCAGGTGTCGGTGAGTTACTTTTAGGATGAGGGCCTGGAGCCACGGGGGAGCCACTATAGGTGAGGACCAGCTGTTGCTGGATGCTTACCTTTCTTCTCTGTGTGACGCCAGATATGTGAAAAGTTGGTTGATAATTGAAGGTGTATTTAGTATTTAGTTAACACATAAGCAGTAAAGTAGTTTTTACGTGTTTCAGTTGGAGATGAGTTGTTGAGAATCCATTTTTCCTTCTCAGAAATGTACAAAAAGGTTTTCTCAAAGCAACGGAAGTTCAAAACTCACAGTTTGCTCCCTTCTAAAAGAACAAAAAGACAAAAAGATCATAAAAGCGAAGCTCTGCACTAATATCGACTTACCTCGGAGCACAAAGTAGGCCACGGAAGATAAAACAATCTGTCTCTGTGACGCGGGCCCTGACCTGAGCAGTGCAGAACTCTGACGGGCTGTCACCAAACCCAAAAGGAAGCCAGCTGCCTCTTCCACACACCTGTGGTCACTTCAGTCAATCGCTGACGCTGCAGCTCAGATTAGTCTCGTTGTGTTCAAAACATTCTGACTTCAGAGATGAACACGTCAGAACAACCACACTGTAATGGGTGTGAGGTTAAAACGCTGATCCTCCTTCCTCGACCCGGTGGCGTTTCTCATCAACCTGACCAAACCAATCCACACAGCATCCGCTGAAATCCACATCCTGCCAGCGTCCCACCAACGCGGCGGTTATCGGGGCCAGAAAACAACTCTATATTCACATTATTGAGTTTGTGACTGGTGGCACACCAGTGGGAACAGAATTTATTGATGGTCCCTCGTTCTACATTTTTTATTATTTCGCCTCCAGTTATCAGCCTCGGTTGGATTCACGCAAATCTGTGCACTCGAGCAAGAGGTGATGAAATAATTCTACGTTCTCCAGTTCAGTGGTGGCAGGGCCTGCATGGCAGTAAATACACTCACTCCCTTCCACTGCGTCCAGCATGACAGCCTGAAGGTTATGATGGGATGTGTGTAGATGCAGCGCACAGGAAATCACACACGAGTGTGTTACCACTGATTCTGAGCTGAGAGGCTTTATGTTATTGGACTAATTGTAATCTTCTCACGCCAGTAAGTCACCCTGTGGTCTCTGGGCATGCTCACATCACCTATAGGAGACATTCTCATGTGCAGCAGTCAGTCGTAGCTCTGTCAGAGAAAGGCTACAGCCAGGCTAGATTTCTGGCAGATTAAAGCTGAAATTGATAAATCTGCCCATCTTCTAACTAGGAGATTGACCGATGGTGTTATCCACCCCACACACACACACACACACACACACACACACACACACACACACACACACACACACACACACACACACACACACACACACACACACACACACACACTCATCTGGCCCATTTAGCAGCTGTTTAGAGGCAGTGAAAAGGGCTCTGCTGGATCTATCGAGCACAATGTATTCACATTGTGTAGTCCCACCCGTTAATCTGTTTAAGAGGGGCTAATTCTGTGATCTTTCGGCGGATCTTGAGCCAATTAACAGCAGATTTAAAACAACAACAATAACAAAAACAAATCCAAAACGGTGGAAAATGGCGTTAAAACCTACTTGGGTGAGTTCTGTGCCCATGAAGATGAGGAGAATCAGAGTCAGAAGCTTGCTCGCAGGCTGCATCTCTTGCCTCCGGTGTGTGTGTGCGTGGACCAGCGGTCTCACATGCAGGTCCGGTCCCTTCGCGTCCCCCCCGCACACAACAGTAGTCCTTTTTGCACTCCCCCACCTCTCTCTCACGGCTCTTTCTCTGCGCTGCGAATCGCTGGATGCCTTTTCTTGTTTGTGCTGGTAATTTTATCCCTCGGCAGCCTCGTAGCAGCAGATCTTTTCCGCGGAATCGTCTCCGTGCGTGTTCATCTCATCTCCGGAGCCGCTAGTGATCTCTGCCTCTCCCCCCCGCCGCTTCAGAGGCGTTTAAATGTCTCTGCGACGCACCGTGAGGAGCATTCGCGGGCTACAGACACGTCGACTGGCCCTATCTCCCCCAGCTCAGGCTCAAACCTGCGCTCAGATGCTGGCAAAAGTTTACCTCCCCGCCTCAAGCTGCCGAATAAGGTCTCCGAGCAGGAGAGGAGGACGGCGCTGTCCGCGGTGCTGAAAGCGGAAGTCGCATCGAAGAGCGCGCGAAGTTTAAAATGGCAGGAAAGCGACAGATTTACTCTGTTTTTGCTGTTCACTTAAAAGTTTCACTCCTGCAGCGCCTAATGTCCAAGCGAAGACTATTCCACAATTTTTTGACCTGCTACAGAAAAATCTGTGTGCCCTGATCCCAAGAGTGATAAGAGCATGCAGCTGGGAGCTAGACCTCAAAGTTCTGCCTGGAACTTGAGGCACTATTATCTCAGACACACAAGATGGGGACCGTCAATTTAAAGACTTAAAAATGAACGATTAAAGTTTGAACTGGATCCTGTAATAATGGGGGGCCACTGAAGTGACATTAACACAAGAGATGTGTGATCATAAGGCTTTGTACAAGTCAGCAGTCGGGCCATGGCTTTGACCAGTTGCAGGCGAGAGGCAGACGTCTGATCCAAGACAAAATAAAACGAGCTGCAGTCGTCCAATCTGCAAGTAACAATGAATGAGAAACTATTTGTGTAGCACCTTCTTGGGGTTCTACAACCCCCCAGGGCGCTTCACAACACAGTCATTCACACACCGGTGGGGATGAGCTACGGCTTAGCCACAGCTACGCACTGATAGAGGTAGAGACTGCTGAACACTGGCGTCTCTCCGACCACCACCAGCAGGCAAGGCGGGTTAAGTGTCTTGCCCGAGGACACAGCAGCAGTATTCTCTGAGCTGGGATTGTACCTGCAACTTTCTGATTACTGGACAACCCGCTCTATGCCCTGAGCTACGGTTGGCCTGTAAAGGCCCAACAAGGTGGATAAACTGCTCTAATGCATTTGCTGGAAGGTCTAACTTCACATTTGCTAGCTGTCTCAGGTGATAAAAGCCTGATTGGAATATCGTTTTGATCATTTAAGGAATTTGTCACTGCAACGTTGTTTTTTAGAGAAGAGAGAGCCCAGACTACCATTGGAGACGTACAAAGTAGCAGAATTACCTAAAACGGCCAGTTCAGTTTCATCCTTGTTTACACAACAACGTTTGCAGCC